ACACAAAATCCATCGGAGGTTTGCTTCAGATTCTTATTCATCACTCATCCACGCTTTCCGCTAAAAATCTATTTTTCGTAACTTATCCCCCCCCCCCCCCCCCCCCCCCCCACTCAAAAATAGTCCATTTTCGTCAGAATTTTCGAAATTGAGATAAATGTATGAGCAGATAGTCCGTGATCTGCTCTTTCATAACTGACAAAAATTTTTCCTCGATACCTCCTTTTTGTCCAAAATTTTCGAAGGTTTTTGTCACCCCCTATTCGAAAAACCAGCTGTTTTTTGAAAAATCAAAAAATGTTTTTCGTTTTTTCTCGACTTATGACTTTTTGATCTTTTGTCCAAGACTTCTCGGTTCAGGCTCTTTCAATATATTTACATTTTTTTTGTTTGAAAAAGCGTGTCCAGCTGCAGGGCACCACAGAGTCCTTTTTTTAATTAAGCTTTATTTTTTATTATATATATACAGACATTTATGTAGCTAGACACACATTTTTGGCGCTTTTTTTTGAGTGACTGAACTTGTAATTCCCTTTTTTCGCTAAAAAAGTAAGAATTTAAAAAAAAACGACTCTGTGGTACCCTGCATCCTGATATGCTCTTTCTAATAAAAAAAATTAAACATATAGCATGAGCCTGGATCGAGAAATCTTGCACAGAAAATGAGCTATTTTTGACCACTCTTTGATTCATATCTCTGTCAAATATCATAGTATCGAGCTGAAAATTTTACCACAGCCTCCTCACTTCAGCCCCAGCATATGCTCCAAATTTCAGCCCATTTGAACGTACCTGGACTGAGATCGATTCTTGAGTGGGAGGGGGGGCCTTAAAACACTTCTTCACTTGTTGATAAAGCTACTTTCATAAATCATTTTCAATGTCAATTCGCAGAAGAAACCATAGGTACATTCATTATAATATGAACAAATGAATATAAATTCTGAACCTATTTAAGAAAAACATTATGTGTTATGTTTTCTTAATGTAAACAAAATTTACAAATTTATTGTTAAGTGAAACAGAAATATTTCGAGGTTTTGCGTCTAACTAAAATCAAATTCTGCCTAGATTTAATTTAACTTATGATATACACTTGAGAGAAGACAAGTTACAATACGAGTCCATATTTTAAAGTACAAGTTAAATACTTTTAGTTGTTGCACATGAGCAAATCTGTGAAGAGGCGCTCGTATGAGTACCTGTCAGAGTACACGAACAGTATTCATACACATAAATCGCAGTCGTACTCGCTTGATGAGTATTTTCACTAGGGAAGGGTGCGTTGCGTTGTTAGTAAACATGTTAAAATAATTTTATCAAGTTGATTTTTCGCTCGTTTTCGTCATATGTTTATTTTAATCATGTAAAAAAAAGTTATATCTGAACCTATTTTCGTATTATACTCCATTAGAACACAATCATAAACGTGACTCAAAATGAGTGAGCGACTAATATTTCTTTCGTTCGCACCAAGGGAAGAGTAGAAAATAAATTTGATACATATATTTTAGCAGGTTTTCTTATAGTACACTTTCTTAATAATAAATGTTAGTTGATTATAGTTAGTTTTTGTTGACAGATTGGTTGCTACAAACATATATTTTCTATGTCTGCCCATTGTTGTACATCCAAAAAATACAAAGACACTGAAAATACCATCAAATCTATGAAACAGTCTTTTTATATATGTTACTTTCACAGAACTTCTAGTAGTTACATGCACTCATTAAAGAAATAATAATTTGTATCTTATATCTATACATATTACTAAATGTTCGGTATTTGATTTGAGTGTATCGCTAGAGAGAACAATCATAATCCATAAGTTTAGGTTGCTTGAAATAAAGTGTTGATGAATTTTTATAAGAATTCATCGAGACTATATTTCAAGCAACCTAAATCTATGGAATATAATTGTTCCCTCTAAGGATTCAGTCAATTCGAAAATCGAACGAGTGAAAACGCATTAAGAAACATGAACGACACTAAAATTGTAAAAATGTGCACTTTTTTGCATTTTATTTTCATTAAAATTTCGATGCATTTGTACGAGTTATTTTTCATTATTTGTCTAGCTGAGAAACGAATCGTTAACTAGAAGCAAGAAATTCGACTATTACATTCATACTCACACTGCAATCTATGATTAAGCGATAATTTTGCGTCGCACAGGTATAATCGCGAAAAAAGTCACAATCTTTTGGAATGAGGTTAGATTTATTTGACGAAGAAATTTTACAACTGTTTTCGCTCAGTTATCAATGCAAAGATGGTAAGTGACAACTACGATAGATTTACAGGAAAAATTGATATCTTAGTTACAGTTCTATACCAACGAATTACTGTTCAACACTCTATCAGATCCATCTAATGGCAAGATCAGCATAAATGTGCTACATTAAGTCTACCTCTGCTGCACACTACTATGTCAGTATTTTGATTATTCAGGTCCCACACTGATTAAATATTCTTCCAGCAACCTCTATACTAAATGAGACGAACATTGTATCTTGATCATCAAACCAATTGTATTTTCTTTTTAGAGCCAATATGCCCCTTTCTGTTAGAGTCTCAAACTCAAGATTGGATTGGTGTCGAAGGACGTCAGCTACCAATTGCATTAGGAGATTTCAATAATGATAATCAGTTAGATATCATCGTTACTCAACGCGACAATAATAAAATAAATATCTTCTTGGGATACGGAAATGGAGCGTTTCCAGCGAAACCAACGACATCAGTAACATCTTCTTCTCTTCCATACTTCATTGCAGTTGGTGATTTTAATAATGATAGTTGGTTGGATTTTGCCATTGCTAATTATGATCACAATAATATAGGTATTTTTCTCGGCTATGGTAATGGAACTTTCACAAATGAAAACATACATTCAACTGGTTCTTCTCGTCCGCTTTCGCTCTTGATTCATGATTTCAACAACGACAAAAAATTAGATATTGTTTTCGCTAACGATGGCACCAACAATATAGGTGTACTGCTGGGATCTGATAACGGAAATTTTACCAACCAGATGATGTTTTCAACTGGTTTTGATTCTCTTCCTCGCGCGGCCATCGCTGGTGATTTCAACAGCGACAATCGATCAGATATCGCTGTCGCCAATTCTGGCACTAACACTATTGGAGTTTTTCTAGGATATGGCAACGGAACTTTTTCAAACCAAACTAAATATCCAACAGGTGGTCATCCTATTTCATTGGCCGTTGGCGATTTCAACAACGACACCCGACTGGATATCGTTGTAATCAACTATGGTACTAATGTACAAGTACTTCTTGGGAATGACAATGGAACGTTCACAAGCCAAGCCACGTATGTAACAGGCTTCGGTTCTTATCCTAGTTCGGTAGCTGTGCGTGACTTTAACAAAGACGGTCGACTCGATATCATAGTCGCCAATGGTGGTACTAACAATCTAGGTCTCTTTCTCGGATATGGTGATGGAACCTTCGAAAACCAACGGTTATATCCTATATATAATGGGGCTCCACACATACTTGACGCTGGAGATTTGAACAATGATAATTGGATAGATGTTGTCGTTGCTATTGATAGCTCTTATAACGTGGGTGTCTTTCTTGGGGGCCCAGATAAAAATTTTACCAATCTTACAACATATTCAACCGGTGGCCAATCTGATCCGTACTCCGTTGTCGTGGGCGATCTCGATAATGACTCACGGCTGGATATTGTTGTAGCAAATTATTATAGTTACGAAGTAGGTGTGTTTCTTGGACAAGGCAACGGAAATTTCGGTGCAAGAATGACATATTCAACGGGGTCATATTCTTACCCGACTTCGGTTGCCGTTGGGGATTTTAACAACGACATTCAGCTGGATATCGTTGTAGCCAATTCTGGTACTGGCAACATAGGCATTTTTCTTGGATATGGCAATGGAACGTTTTCAAAGCAAACTACATATCCAACAGGATGGAGTTCTAAGCCAATGTCGGTTGCCGTTGGGGATTTTAACAACGACATTCAGCTGGATATCATTGTCGCCAATGCTGGCACTGACAACATAGGCATTTTTCTTGGAAATGGCAATGGGACGTTTTCAAATCAAACTACATATCCAACGGGATCGAATTCTGAGCCGACCTCTGTCGCCGTTGATGACTTTAACAGCGATAACCGGCTTGATATCGTTGTCGCCAATGCTGGCACTGACAACATAGGCATTTTTCTTGGAAATGGCAATGGGACGTTTTCAAATCAAACTACATATCCAACGGGATCGAATTCTAATCCGAAATCGGTCACCATTGGTGATTTGAACAACGACGCTCGATTGGATCTTATTGAAGCCAATTTCTACAGTAACGACATAGGTGTGCTCCTTGGAAATGACGATGGAACTTTTTCTACTCAAACAATATATTCAACTGGATGGGATTCTTACCCGATATCAGTCGCTATTGGTGATTTCAACGGCGACAATCGATTGGACATAGTAGTTGCACTTTATTATTATTTCTCTATAGGTATCTTTCTTGGATATTATAATTCACCTTTTACAGTTCCTGTAATGTATTCAACTGGCTCACTTCATACACCGTTTGCACTCACGGTTGCAGATTTTGATAGTGACGATCAATTGGATCTCGTTGCCACTAATTATGGTGACGGTAATGTAGCCATTTATCACAATTTTGCAAATGGAACATTCCAAAGTTCTAAGTTATATTCAACGGGCTACATCACTGGTCTGTCTTCTATTGCGGTTGGTGACTTCAATAACGATCGTCAAGTGGATGCGGTAGTTGCTAATTATGAAAATGACAATATTGCCTTCTTTCTCGGATTCGGAAATGAAAGTTTTGGGGACGTCATATCATACACAACTGGGCTTTATTCTGGTCCCTGTTCAGTTGCCGTTGGTGATTTCAATAACGATGGCCGGTTGGATATTGTTAATGCCAATAATGCCGATAACAGTATAATTTTATTTCTTCATTATGGCTTCGGAGCCTTTGTGAACAAGAAAAAAATGTACTCAACGGCTTCTGATAAACCCTCTCGATCGGTTGCCTTTGGTGATTTCAACAACGATACTCGAATGGATTTGGTTGTAGCTAATTACGAAAGTTTCACTATTACTGTGCTACTTGGAAATAGTGATGGAGCTTTCTCGAACCAAACTACATACTTTACTGGACCTGAATCTTCTCCGTATTCGGTTGCAGTTGGTGATTTCAACAATGACGCACGACTGGATATTGCTGTCGCCAATAAGTGGACTTTTAATGTAGGTATTTTTCTTGGACATGGTGACGGGACGTTTTCCGATCAAAGCACATACCCAACGGGACCGAATTCTAAACCAACCACGGTCGCTGTTGGTGATTTCAATAATGATACTCGACTCGACATCGTTGTAACCAATTATGGTGGTTACAGTATAGGTGTGCTTCTTGGCAATGGCGACGGAACGTTTTCGAATCAAACCGAATACCAGACTGGCTATTATTCGTGGCCATGGGGAATTGCGGTTGGTGATTTCAACAACGACGCTCGACTGGATGTCGTTGTAAGTAATCAATATGGTGACAATATCGGTGTATTTCTTGGAAATGGTGATGGGACTTTTTCCGATCAAACCGCATACCGTACCGGAGAGAAATCTTTGCCGATTGGGATTGCCGTTGGTGACTTTAACAACGATAGTAGACTGGACATTGTTGTAGCCAATTATGGTGGTGATAATGTAGGTGTGTTTCTTGGCAATAGCAATGGAACGTTTTTCAACCAAAGCAAGTATTCAACTGGTTATGTGTCTGGTCCGTATTGGGTTGTCGTTGGTGATTTCAACAACGATGCTCAACTGGATATTGCTGCCGCTCTCTCTCTTTCTGACAACTTAGCGATCTGCTTCGGAGATGGAAATGGATCTTTCAGTAGCCCAACAACGTTTGGGACTGGTACTTCAACTTATCCGTGGTATTTGATAGTGAATGATTTCAACTATGATAACTGGCTTGATGTAGCCATCGTCTTTGGAAATGTTGGTGGTGTCACTGTTTTGTTGGGAGATAGAAATAGAATGTTTCTAGTACCTATGAAATATTCAACTGACCCAAATTCTGCTCCACAAACTATTGTTGTTGGAGATTTCAATAACGATAAACATTTGGATGTAGCTGTTGCATGTAGCAAGAGTAATAATGTAGGTTTATTTTTTGGATATGGTGATGGACGTTTTTCAAACCAAGTAACATACTCAACTGGTGCTGATTCTCAGCCGTGGTCAATTGCTGTGGGTGATCTCAACAACGATACTCGACTCGATATTGTAGTGACAAATCGTAATAGTAACAATATAGGAGTTTTTCTTGGACTTGTAAATGAAACGTTTAGCAATGTAATGACGTATTCAACCGGTTTGCTTTCTGATCCTATATCCGTCGTTATTCTGGATTTTAATAGGGACGATAAATTAGACATTGCTGTTGCCAACAATCTTGCCAACAGTATCAGCATATTTCAAGGATATGGGGACGGAACATTTTTGAACCCAACGGCATACTTAACTGGTTATAATTCTCATCCAGTTTGGATCGTCGTCGGTGACTTCAATAAGGATGACTGGATGGATATTGCTGTGGCCACCTTAGGTACAAAAAATGTAAAATTCCTTTTAAAATCATGTTAATTTTTCTGTACATTCACCTTCTCTTTATTCTTTGGTCTCAGTGAAAACTGACCGCTTTCCATTTATGTATTTCCTCACGTAGAGACAATCATATTTCCAAATTTTTATTTCTTGATGCTGAACAATAAGCGAAACAAGTAAAATTGGTATTGTTTGAAACTGAGGGTGTGGGTGTGGGCTGTGGGCTGTGAGCTGTGGGGTGTGGGTGGGTGTGGGTGTGAGTGTGGGTGTGTGGGGGTGAGCGTGGGGGTGGATGAAGAGAAGATTCATACCCACACGCACCCCAGCCCATCCCACAATCACAGCCACACCCACCCACACCCAACACGCGATCAATAAAGTGCACCAGATCGAATGTTATCCTTTCTTCATTAATGCTTTGAAAACGAACCGATTTTAGTTTGGTGAAACGAAGAACTGATGAATCCAACTGTCCCTTATTCAATCGTCACATATTTAGATTCGTCGGAAATGTAATATCGACAAAAAGACACCAGGGCATAGAACCAATAAAGATATGATCGTTCTCGTCACGAATAAGAAGTATAGGCGCTCGACGAGCATCGAGCCACCACTCACTCCGAAACTAGCGCCATAGATCAATCATGTCAATATTCATATCCTCATCATCGAATTCAAATGCGAATGACAGTTTCTTAATATGTTGACATGGCTCAAGTATTGTTTGTAGACGACGTCCATCAATGAATAAGTTAAATGATGGGATAACTAATGTTATTTGTTCGAGCGATGACTGATAGCAACGGATCAATCCTTCGATAATCTCAACATGAATGCCATTGATGGTACTACTACCAAGATGTAACTGAGTCAAACATCCAAATTGAGAGATAATATCGAAGATATCATTCTGAAACAAAGCATGTGTACTGGATTCGAGAACTCTAATACGGAGACAGATCAGATTCGGTGTGAGACTACATAAACATAATAAATCTTTTTCAGAACAGCACCAGATATCTAAGCATAAGATGACCAGACAAGGTCGAGTATTAAAGATTCTATAACCCTATACAACATGGAAGAACGAGTGAGAAATTAATCGAGCTATTTGTTTCATGTACCTGATCATCTTTTATTAATTGGATATCTCTATTATGAAACCATGAGTTTCGATTATTTACACACTGAAGATTGCACTGAGCAAGTAGGCCCAAACATGTGACAGCAGTTTCAAAAGCCCTATCATTTTCAACATTAAATTTTATAGCAAAGACTACTGGTTGCTTGAGAATTATGGAAGTAAGATTTTGATAAAAGCGTTCACAGGAAAAGACATAAGGTAATAACTCGACTTTGAAAGAGATTTTTGCAACGGCATCAGTGATGCATGGCATATATTCAAGCAACCAAGTTTGTGGTATATCATCGGGAATGAAAAAATTTTGAGTAGATTGAAAAACAATGGAATCGAATCGCTGATTAAGTCCACAGAATGCTCGAACGAGATCGAATGTTTTCAGATGAGAAACTATTGAAAATAAAAGTTCATTCGGCAATAGTTCCAAGTAACTACATAAATTTCAATTGAGAGAAAATAAAAAAATATTCACAGATCTGATTGAAAAATGAATCAAAGTAGTATTACCTGCCAAGAACATGGACAATTATTTGATAATCGCCATCAATAACAACATTAACCAAAGGAGTTTGGTTTTCCTTAATGACATTAGGTGTCACGGTTTCAATTCGAACTCGAGTTAGAATTCGCTGCAGATAATTTCATGGTTAAACCACTATCTTGATGTATTGTATTTTACCACTTTCGCATGATGTCTTCTTCCTCTAGCCGTGCAGATGATGTTCGTTTTGAAAGATCTTGCTCTGTCTTATCTCCTATCTTCGATGAACTCATGTTTTTGACAATTTAAAGTGAGAATTCATTTGTGAACCTAGAATCAATCAACATTCAATAACTATACTTTCGAAATACTCTTTTAAAGTCATTTTCGACTTCTGTTTTTGAAGCACCTTATAAAGGATGTAACTGTAATTTTCTGATTCTACATTGTTCATATAAAAAACGTTCAAGACTATCGCAAATGATAACATTTGGAGTAGCATGCTTTCTGATGTTTCTTATGTTGCTTTCCAAAAGAAACGTTGTAGGAGAAAAGTATATTTTAAATGTCTGCTCTGTACGAGACTTAGTTGTGAAATATGTATGAGAAAAGAGAGCTTGTCAAATACAAAAATAAGGTGTGATATAACGACTGCAACGACGACAATGCTGAGTCATAATGTCACATTTTTTTCTGTGCAATGGTATTCACTACACATTTTTCTTTCTTCCTTCATGCTTGGCTTTTTCCCCGGAGAAAGAGAAATCAAATAAGTAATATTAAGAGAAAGAAATAGTCGATACCAAAATTTTCTTCACATCATTGCTGTCAAATGTGTTGACTGCTGAGCAGAGCATAGACTGAAATGTCTTCACGTCTTTTACGGACAGAGAGGCTAAATGTGGATGTAGGAAGGTATAAGGTTTGCGTCATAGTGTGATTTAAGATCACAATACTCACACCCACACCTGCATATTTTTTCTCACCAGTTGTATATAAATAACGATTTCGTATTTATTTTTCATTAAACAGATATGTCAATAGTTTTATCAATAATGTCTCAACACTAGCAGTTGTGCTCATTTGACATTGAAAAGTATACTTGTGTTTTGGTGAAGAAAAAAAAAAGATGCTGAAAAAACCATAAGGTTATTAGTCTTTTATTTGTTCTTCTTTAATATTAAATGGTAGGATTTCCTTCAGTTTCGATATTCTAGTAAATGCACTTCAATGACATTATTTTAAAAAAATGAGATGCTTGTTCATACTTATGGTTGTAACGAAATTAGACAAGAGAAATGTAAATTCTTTAAAGATGAACATGCAGTATTTCAAGTAAATATTCATCTTCGTCAACTTGTTATACAACCGTTGAAAATGAATACAAAAGCATTTATTATTAGTGGAGATCATACCATGAGTTTAGATACAATCTAGGCATTTTTAGAGTGTTTTGACAATGTAGAGATAATAGTTATTTGGATTGATGCTCTTGCAAATGTGATACGACAAAAGCATCTCAATCAGACCATTATCATGGAATATCTCTAGCTTTGCTTTTTGGTTTTGGATGAAGACGACAAGTTTCCTATGAAAGTGTTATTACAATCAGAACAATTGATCTATTTTGGATTATGAGGCGTTGATTCATTCAAAAACAAAACCAAATAAAAAATCTGAAAAAAAAAGCGTTTTTACAACTAATAATTTAACTCTTCATAATTGAAATCTTATTTCCGTATTTGATCATGTTTGAATCGAAATCGCATAACAAAATTGATCAACAAGTTTTTGATTACTATTTAGTAACTTACACTTTTTATATATAGGTCACATCTGACTGCAATACTCACTGCCTTTCAATATCTCAATTATTAAGTGAAGATCTTGATGAACGTATTACTATATTTATTGGCAAACATAAATATGCACATATTTCATGGAACTCAATTTCGTACCAGGGTCTGACAACACAACTGCTGTACTCAAGTTCTATGTTAACTGTAAATAATCCATATCAATTTTTTAATTGCCAGTTGTCTTTGATTAAACATACACTTTTTAATAAAAGTGTTATTCTAATATTAACTTTTCTTTTTAAATAAAAACACTTCATTTTATCAATCTGCTAATCTTATACATTTTAGAAAATTGTCGAGGAATTCTGCATTCTACTATGAGTATACAAACAATCAGACTCATGTTTGAACTTCACATGTGAATAATTCTTGTTTCATTAATTTTTCGAAGAATACACGAAGTCCATAATGTTTTAAAAGTGTCTTTCACTCGTGTTTCACAATCTTCAAGTGAAAATAAATAAATTCTCTATTGAAATACGATATACGAAGAAGAATTTATTTATATGTTATGTGCTTCTAACGACATTCCATGTGTTCACATCTGATTAAACTTAGGTACTAAATTATTTAATTAATTAAAACGTTATTAGAAAATAACTCTCTAACCTTATCATCGAAAATTCCAAGATTTTTAGAATATACTCAACGGTAGAAACTATATCTATAGTTTAATTTCTAGCAAGATTCGACTCTAAGAAACCGCTCGTCAAGATTAGGTTTCTAGAGACTTGCTAATGGCCTAGAAAGACATTTACGTTTTGCTATTATCTCGATATCTCCAAAAGAGATTTCTATCATTTAGAATTGGTATTTTGAATTTTTCATTCAGTTGCAAGAAAACTTTTCGTTTCAATGTTCGTACCCAGCCACGTTGCTAACAACGAATTAACTGCATTTTTTTAAAAACTTAAGTACAATCAGAAAGAGCCTCGCATGAAAAATTTTTAGTATGGACAGTCTTCTACAAAAAATTCAAAGAATTTCTCAAAAAAAAAAAAGTTTTGAACTTCCAGCAATCGTAAATATAAGCACATGCAGTGGAAACCTTTGTCCTTTTTTGTATCACGTCACTAACGCTACTTTTTCAATATTTCTCGGCAGAACAATCGCCAAAGGGTTAGGTTTTCAGAGCACTGAAAGTAGCTCAACATATATTTTATACCTAAAAATGAGCTAAAACAAAGTACAGAGTCTAGCAGTGATGAGCAACTTCACTATATCTCACTCCAACTTCAATTTTATAAAGCTAAACTGCTTCGAGTATAATTGTAAAGACACAACACTTTTTGAACATAATTAAAAATACGATTAATATGACTATAAGTAGCACGTTAATTTATTCCTTCATAAGTTTTTCGTGTGACATCTAGAAATGGGCAACTCCACTCTAGATCTATATTAACTTCATTTCAACTCTGCTTACCAATTGTACAGTTTCACTTCAACTTCATGCTAACTCTGATGAAAAAAAAGCATTAACTCTGGATCTAGCTACAATTACGAGTCGAAGTAGTCCATCTCTGGAGTTCAGAGATATCCATGTTTTTACTATGGGAAATGGCGTCTCTAAAGAATGAAATCGTTCAGATGCAGTTTTATTCGAATCCAATTATTTGTGAAATAATATGCAAGAAGGTTACAATATATGTAAATGTCTTTGTCAACATTACTAATTCACGTTAATCATCATTGACTCTCGTATTACTGTTCTTGTTTAACAAAGCAATATGTATACTCTAACTAGGCCAAATCGTCCTTGAGATAAATTTTGTGCTTCTATCATAAATAAGCTCTGCTTTTTATTCTTTTCTCTAGATAAATCATATGTAAAAAGGAAACTTCCACATAACTTTAAGGGAAAAAACCTATTTGATCTCCATATTTTTCTTTTTTTCTCCTTTTTAAATACCAGTTCAGGTTTTTTCCGTTTTCGTGTTGAATCAAACTTAATCATCTCGAATAACATCATTGGTAAATAGCCAAACGAACGAAAATTTTTTTTGTCGTTTCTTATCAGAATATTTAACTATAAGTGTCGAACAGAGAACATGAAAGCATTATCAATTCTTCCACAACTGGATAGTTAAAAAGTTACTACTCGTTATTTTCAATTTATACAATTATAATGTTAAGTACAACTTTGGCAAACTCAATAGAAACAAATCAGAATCTAGAAACATATTGTTTGATTTGGCTGGATAGTTCAGTAAATAAGTCCAAAGAAAATATTTACGCTCAACAAATACTTCGAACATCAATTAATCATTTATTAACATTTGAAGATGATGAACTATGTCTTCAATATATTGATGGTCTATCCAATGATGATCGAGTTGTTCTGATAGTCAGTGGACGACTAGGTCAAACCATTGTTCCTCAAGTTGCATTTCTTCGAACTATCGTATCCATTTATGTTTATTGTATGGATAAACAAGCTAACGAACAATGGACTCAACATTTCTCCAAGGTAAATATATTCGAGTTTATCATTTCTAAAAGAAAAAAATACTGAATTTGACTTTGAATAAAATTTGTATATTTTATATAGGTAAAAGGTGTCATTGTTCGATTGAATGAACTAGTTGAACGAATTCAATCTGATCAAATTCAACAACAACGTAATAAAATTGGTGAATCATTAACTATCAACATTTTTAAATCAAAGATTCGTGATCATGAACAATCATTCATGGGCGTAAATGGTCAATTCATTAATTCTCAGTTATTAATTGATTGTCTTATTCGAATGGTACCAACATTATATGATAAACAAGATTTTGTTTGTCTTTGTAAACAACAATACAAAAATAATTCAAATGAATTAAGTATTGTTGAAGAATTTAATGAACATTATTCATCTAATCGAGCAGTATGGTGGTACACACGGGAATGTTTTCTTTATCGATTATTGAATAAAGCACTTCGAGTACAAAATATTGATTTATTATTTTTATTACGATTTTTTATTCGTGATATTGGACAACAATTAGAGATGAATAAATGTACATCGCCAATTCAAGTTTATCGAGCACAACAAATGTCAACAGATGAAATCGAAATATTGAAAAATTCTGTCGGAGAATATACGTCAATCAATTCATTTCTTTCTACAAGTCTTAATCGACAACAAGCTCGAGCATTTCTCTATTCTGCTAATCTTACGGACGATATTGAACAAGTCTTCTTTGAAATTGATGCTGATCCTCGATTGAAAAATATCAAAGCATTTAGTAAGATTACTTCACTTAGTTACTTTCCACAAGAAGAAGAAGTTCTTTTCATGGTTGGATCAATCTTTCGACTTGATAGCATTCAGCGTGATAACGAGAAAATCTGGAATATTCGAATGGTATTATGTTCTGAGGATAATCATCAATTACAAACACTCTTTCAATACATGAGAAATGAATTAGGTACCGAACAAACTAATCCTCTTGTATTTGGTAATATCATCCGTAAGATGGGCAAATTGGATGATGCTGAGAAATATTATCGTTGTTTCCTCAATCAGTTTTCTTATGATGATTCAAATGTGGCTCATTGTTATCATGCACTAGGACTAGTAGCAGATGATAAAGGTGATTATGAATCAAGTTTGATATGGTATAATAAATCACTTGACATATTCAGGCGGACATTGAAATCAAATGATCCGAATATAGCCACCTCTCATAATAGTATTGCTATTGTTCATCAACGGAAGGGTGATTATACACGTGCATTAGAATCATATGAGAAGGCACTATCGATTTGGAAGCAAGCTTTTGGTGAGGATCATACTTGCATAGGTATATGTCTCAATAATATGAGTAATGTATATCGAAATGAGAAAAAATATTTAAAAGCACTTGAATGTGTAGAAAAAGCATTGATTATTCTTCAAAAACATCTGCCTGGCGACCATTCGGACTTAGCTTCATTACATGGTAGTATTGGTAATATTCATCTATGCCTCGCTCATCATGATCAGGCATTACAAAACTACAATATTGCGGTCAAAATCTACAAAAAAATTCTTCCTGCTCAACATACTGATATTGCCATGACACTATACAATATTGGAATCGTTTATCAAGATAAAAATGAATATCAACAAGCACTTTTAAATTTTAAACTAGCAGCAGATATTTATCGTCATTCGTTACCTTCATCACATCCTAAGTTGATTCAACTTGAACAAAGTATCACACATATTTCATCAAAATTGAAATAGTATTCCTTTCTTCTTTTTGCCCTAATATTGATAAAAAGCTGTATATATAATTAATACTATAATAGGATTAACGATTTAACAAATAATAACAAAAGGAAAACATCAAAATGTGCTCGTCGAATGCTGATATTTGTTATGCAGAAACCTCTCGTTGTCACTAGTATTATTTATGTTCTCTAAGTGTATACGAAACATAGCATGTAAAGAAAAATTACCAGTAACCAATGTCATTTTCAAGTCGATACAAGAAGATTCTTCATATATTCGTATTAACACAGCAATCTGGGTATTATAACAATTAATCAATGTATTTTATAACAATTTTCTTTTGTGAGACTTAAAAGGATGATATCTTCTCTTTTTATCGACATGTCAATCTTCACTTTTTATTTGCGCAGGGATTTTGCCATGCGTATTTTCTATTGATTTTATAAGTTTTGTTCTATGCACATCGAGACATTGCTCCTGTGCCATTATTAATTTAGTTCTTTAGACAACTTTGTTTGATATGCATTTTGAAAAATTTTATTAAACTTTATGTAGAAGATCTATACATTGATGTAGTAACTAATTTTGTCAATAGATATTTTATATTGTTTATTGGATAGAGTGTAAATACTTTTCATTTTATCGGTTGTTTGTATATTTCATACTTTGAAACTCCATCATTGGTTTTTGAATACTGTGAGTATCACCTGATTATAAATGACTACGAACAAATTTTCTAATAAGATGCAGTTGTCGAATCACTTGTTCTTATGAGAAAATATCATAAAGTGATAGATCACTGCTACGATAAATCTTACCTCATTAGGTAGATCCTATTGAGATTAGAGAAATGTAAAAAGAATTTGTACTCATGAATTTTTCTTCTTGAGCTATGGACACTTTTGTCAGTTTTCTACAATATATCATAGTTTCCTTCAGATCACTTTAAAGATCTAAATTTCAAGTTGCACAAATAAATCTTTCAATCAGACTATTTCATTATTAAAGTATAAAATTTTCTAGTAACTTCTATTATCAGATACCGATATTGAAAGTTCTGTTGTTTCAAAAGGTAAACTGTACTCTTCTACTTTTATATCAGAATAGAACTTAGTAGAGAGAATGATGGTGTTACAATCAATTAGCTTCATTGAGATCTTGATTTATGCAAAATTTGAATTCAAAACTCGATTTTTGAAGGAAGTTTCAATAGTAATTGTACGCCTTTTATATTTCATATTTCCTCAAAACCGATGATAGAGAATATACATATTGTTATCACAAAAACTTGTATGTTCTGTAAATTTTTCTTGCAGGAATATTTTAAATAGTTTAATCAACATTGATTAAGCCAACTTATCTTACCAAGAAATGCGTCAGCTGAGAGATGCATGAAAAACAAAAAAAATTGATTCATTTTCTATACAAAGACGTAGTATCGAAGAAGTGGTGAAAAACATTCTGCGCATCAAGTAACATATATATTGAGTAATTAAAATAAATTAGTCTCTGAAATCTAGTCGTTTACTCTTTCAAACTAGAAATTAAAGAAACAAAAAGATTTTTTCCTTATCATCTTATCAAATCTACATATATAGAGTGGTAAAATTCAGTTTGCATAGGGTGTGGTTATGAATGTTTTTCTTCTCTCCATTTTATACCCGCTATTGATGGAAAGAAATAAAAAAATATATTCATTCAAAACTTTATTGCTTCACCTAAAAATTGATCGTGCCTCGCCTATGGTATCCTACTAAAATGTTGTAAGCATCATACGTCTAATAAATGAATTTTAGATATGTTGACAGTCAATCCATACTTTGGATGTTTGTCTCATATTCTGTCTTTTTAATATATTATTCTTGAAAATATGACTCAGGTATAGTTTCTCTTTCACAGAAAATAATTGAGTTTTGTTAAAAAAAACTATATATAAAAGTTCGCTTTTAAATGGACAATTTATTTCGTCGAACTATTAAAATCGCTCGTTATCTATCAGAGAAGATCTCTAGGGAGAAACACAGAACACAAGAAAAATTTAGGAGACTAAAATCACTCTTCTACCCGACCGCCTCATAGTCGTATTCACTGTGCGTATCCAAAGTCAATTCGACTAGAACTAATATTGATATAAATTTTGTTGTTATAAGCAAATAAAATAGGCATCTAAAGATGTAAAAAAAGTTTCTTTTTGTCAAAGATTGATTATATTGACTCAGAATAGTACTTTTTTGCTCAAATATTTAATTTAATTATAAATGAATTCTGTTTCAATTTCTTTTTCAAATCAATTGAATTATTTATTCGATGTGATCATATCTCATGTTTCGACGTAGATGTCATCGTTTTTGGTATTGTAATTCAATATCGGAAGAGGATCAAAATAAAAAATTTCAGTTAACTAAATTTCAATTAATTAAACTTATAACTTCTTGTGCTCTTCCTCTTGCTGTTGCTATATTTACTCTTGTAACAACACTTCAAAATCGTCAAATAGCTCTACAAAATCGTGAACAAGATTTACTAGAAAGTGAAGATGATCAACGACAAAGTTTTTTTGTTAATTATATAAACGATATATCGCGTTTTCGAGATCAAAATATTGAAAATTTAACAAATAATTATAATAAACTTCTTTATATTCGAACAAAAACATTAACAACATTAAGAAAATTAGATAATGAACGTAAGAAGTATATTTTATTATTTCTTAAAGAAAGTTCATTATTAAGTGAAGATGAACAAAGTTTATTAGTTGGAGCAGATTTTAATGGTATAAGTATTAATCATAATGATTGTGTTTTTAAAAATATTATTTTTTCTGGTGTTTATTTTCAACAAGTTTCATTTAGAAATTGTCTTTTTGAAAATGTAACATTTCGTCAAGTTGATTTTCATCAAGCAATTTTATCTCATTCAATTTTTTATTTAACTTATTTTATTTCATGTCGAATGGATTATGTTAATTTTCAAGAAGCTGTTATATCGGAATCGTATTTTAATAGTTCATCATTAAGTTATACAGATTTTCGTCAAGTTAAAATAGATTTTGTTAAATTTTATAATGTTAATTTAACAAAAGCAAGTTTTTCTGATAATCCTACTCAAATGCAATATTCATTGATTCGAAATTCTCTTTTACCAAATGGTACATTTTCACCAATCGATAATATTGATATTGTTTCTAATTTATGTACGTCTTTTGAGAAATGGTCTCCGATACCGATTGATGGCATTAAAGTTCATAATTGTACATTTATTATTAATATTTCTAATACTACTATAGCTCGATATATAAGAAGACCTTTTATTGATCGTTCAGTACTTATTGATGCAAAACAAGCTGACTTCTTATTTGAATTAAAACAAAAATATATGATGATGTATGTTTCGATTATTATTTATTTTGTTGGTGTAGAACATGGTGTATTTGAAACACAACAATTCGGTAAGTCAAAGATGAAAGTCCTTTTATATTGAAAAAAAAGATGAACCTACAAATTTTGGACGTGTTCTGCCAGATATTGGAAATTTCAAGGCAAAATTCATGTTCTAACGGTGAAACCAACTGAAATGATTCGCTACTTTTGAGTTCATATTTTGCATTTATAGAGCGGATGTCTACACCTAAGTAACCACAAAACGATTCGGTTTGATAGGCTTTGTTTACTGAATTATTATTGTAGAATAGGATATTAACAAGGAAATTGAAGGAAGGATATCTTACTTGAAATTTTGTATGGAAATAAATCTCGTAATCCTAAAAATATCGTTAAAGTTTCAGTGAAAATGATTGCTTTCTACTCGAAAGATTGAATACTCAAAAATTTTTTAGATTTTATAAACGGTCAGAAAAGTCTGGAATTTTAGAACATTGAATATTTCAAAAATAAAGAAATTGTTTTTACTGAAAATTTTAGGGTTACTAGCAAAACTGTCATAGCTAGATATAGAATCTCTATGGAATTGAATCCTGTTAAGATTATTCCAGTCTAGATGTTTCTGCTCTATATCTAAAATATAAACTCACAGACGATGAATCTCTTCAGGCATTTTCCTCTTTAATGGAATCAAAATTTTACTAGGTAAATAATGAGATTATTTTGAATAAATACTGATTGATTATCGATCTTTTACTTTTTTTTTCTAAATAGATTGTTTGTCCAACAACAATCTGATTTGTCAACATCGTTTTCATATCCCATCGTATACTCGACAAGCTTTCTTGAAAATAAAATTCAATACAATGGGTACTTCTGTTGAACGAATATCTTATTCAATTAAAAGAATAAAATCTGATGTTTTATGAATTTTTTTTTCTATTGAGGTATATATTAAAATATAGAAAAACAAATATTTTAAATGTTTTATGCGCCAATTCAATTAAATTTATTGAATATTTTGTCTGATATTTTTTAAAACTATTGTAAACTCAATTTGCTTTTGAGAAACTTTAACTGAAAAAGAAAATCAACCGTTGTATGACATGTTTGTTGTAGGCTTCTACGTCACATACACAAGTAAGTTTAACAAATATAGTTTTATGTTGAGGACTTTATGAGTTAAGTGAATGATTCTTTAACAAGGACGTACTGCTCTGCTAAATTTGCAGTACCGTGTAGCGCAACACTTCAGTAAATTTTCATTTTCTAAAGAACGACGAAAGTTATAAAAAGAATATTTTTTATTACAGATATCACCAACCATGAGCTATCTTAGGATATGGGTATTCATGATGCGAAGAACATCACTTGTACTTCTTTCCCCACACCCACAATTGATCGCATATTTGACATAAGTACGGTTCCCATTTTTATTTCTCACAAATCTCAATTGCCAAACGTATGACTCAATCCTACAAAGCACCGTTCGAGAATGAGGGTGGCATGTAAAAAATGAAGATTTATCCTTACAATGGACTCGTAGATGGTTTAGCTGGTAAACAACAATAAAGTGTTGAAATTTACCTTTTGAATTGATGGAAATGTTCAGAAAAGACAAAAGCGTTATTCTTTGTCGAATAGCAACAACCTCAGCAAATAGAAGACTCAAAATGAAGGAGACGTGTTCGGATTCTATGAGTTCTGAACTCTTGAGAATTTTGAAATTTAAACGCTAATCAAAATTAATCACTCGTCAATAACAACTAAATACAACTCAAATAATTCGAAGAACTATAGTAAGTCCGTATGTGCGGTGTGAGTTTGCAGATGTGGGTCTTCACTTCTCTATCAAACACGTTGACAGTCACACTCACACTGACATCCTACACGAACACCCAAATCCGCATCGCGATGGTAAATTTTTTTATATGTGCGCAAATTTTCTTAATGCTAAAGTTTTTGCACAGCTCCCTACGAGTCTAGGTCGTTTTTCTTGTGTAACGAATCCAATTTGAGCATATTTTCATTAGTGTCATCAAATTTTGAGCATACACTTTTTGCTTCTTGCGAAGATAAGTAAGCATTTTGTTTCTTTTTCTATGGACTACATCGTATCGATCGATGCGGTGAAAATATAAAAAGTCAGTTTGTAATTGATGAAAATGTTTCGTCGTACTTCATTTTGTATTTCTTTCCTATTTGTCCGTGTTAAAATCAATTCAAGTATTTTTTTCTGATAAATTATATATTTCAAAAGTCCATTAAAATTTGCAGGTGAAGTGTCTTTTTAATTTCTGATTAATAATGAATGAATGGCATGAGTTTCAATCAACATTTATCCATAAATGATCAACAACAATCAGGAATACGATCTAAAAATCTTGAAGTATATTCAGTGGCTATTTTCAGTCAAAATTTGATATTATTAGATGAAGCCCAAATTGAACTTGAAAAATTAATTGATTATATATATAATCATATTTGATACTCAAGATGATACTCAAAACTACATTGATGAAAATGAATGTGATTTTATTATACTTATTGTCTCTATTGAATGAGACGAAACAGTAATTAAATGTACACATGCATGATCTAAAGCAATTGTATCAGATTTATATTTATAATCCAACGAATATTGTTTCTCAGTGGACAACTAATTCTAAAAAAGGAATGTAATTGATGAACATGAATGTTCTATTGTTTATATCAAGTTTAGATTCCAGATGTGGTGACGAATTCTAATGTCTTATTAGCAGCATTGCGTACAAATTTTAAGGCAAAGAGCAATAACTAATAGTCATTTTTGAAATTTGATCAGCATACGAGAAAAGTCTGGCATTTGCAATTTATTAAGTTAATTATTAATGTTAATAAGGAAAATAACGATCGTCAATCACTAATTAATCAGTTAAAAGTTTATTGTGTCAATAATTCACAACAATTACGATCCATTCGAGAGTTTGAGCGTGAATATTCGCCCTTAACGGCAGTAAATTGATACACAAGACATTGTTTCGTTTATCATATACTTAACAAAGCTTTTCGATCGTTGGATTTGAATCTATTAATTTTATTTCGATTCTTCATTTTCGATTTATATCAACAGCTTTCGAATTTATACGATAATAAGAGTATTTCAGCGAACTAGAGCGTGGAGTGGGTGGATGGGTGTGAATGTTCTATTCACTGACACCTACATTCATACCCACCCACAACCATTCACACTTACCCACACCATCCCACATTCATACCTACCCACCCACACCCCGATAAGCTGAACACATTTGAATGAATTAATAGTCTAATACAAAAACTTTTATCTACATACGACAAATCAAAATGAATGTTTTCTATTTATAGAAAATATGATACAATTCCCTGCATGTCAACGACATAAATTATAAGTAAATAATGAAATCAAAATGACTAAGATATATAAGAGCCAGTTCGTGTAAGCCACGACCGAGGCTGTTCAATCGAGGTCGTCAGATCTTGTTCATTTTCTGATATGTTGTAGAGGGAAGAGTTCTAAGAATATTGGTGAAA